TGTTTAATGAAAGGGATATCTTTTCCTATTATTTTTCCTTAAGAAAACCCTGTATATCCCGTAAACAGTGTTGTTTAATGAAAGGGATATCTTTTCCTATTATTTTTCCTTAAGAAAACCCTGTATATCCCGTAAACAGTGTTGTTTAATGAAAGGGATATCTTTTCCTATTATTTTTCCTTAAGAAAACCCTGTATATCCCGTAAACAGTGTTGTTTAATGAAAGGGATATCTTTTCCTTTTATTTTTCCTTAAGAAAACCCTGTATATCCCGTAAACAGCGTTGTTTAAAGAAAGGAATATCTTCAAAATTTTTTATTTGTTAATAATAACTAACATCAGCCAGCTTTCATCCAATAATAAAAACACAGGTGACACGCGCCGCCTCCCATGGCCTGCTGGTTAGGGCGCTCGACTTCCAATCTGAGGGTCGTGGGTTCGAATTCCCGTGGGGTTCTTATAATGTACAAGAGCTAGCGATAGGTATTGTTGACTTTCCTCTAGTCTATCACTGCCCTAGCGTAGCTTTGCGCGAAATTCAAACCAAATACAGGATAAACATAATTCCTTGTGAAGTTTTTCTTATTATTATTACATAAGATTATTGTTCTACAATTCGAAACTTGAATAATGTCTCAGGATAACTGTTATTAATGCCAATGTTTTACCTTTATCTTGCCTTAAGGTATCAGTCACTTAGGGGCCGAGCGTGGTCCAGTAGTTAACTTTCCAGGCTGTTCATTGAAGAGTCCATAGTTCGAGAAGTGGTGCTTTGAACACGCTCGGAAGTCTTAGATAAATGATAGTCAGAGACCTTATTGTCAATGGCACAGTTGACCTACTGCTTTCCCTCTCATCAGTCCAAAATTAAGAACGGCTACACCTAAAACATAAGGTTGAACATTTCAATACCAGTTCCAATCACTTGAAGAACATATCTTATTTCCGCTGTACAAAATTAAAAACAAAAACACACATTCTACTTCAGGTTCCCCGGCCGAGATGGTTTCTGTCATTGGTGATATTGATTACATTTTATTATTAAGCACACATCTTCAAAATGAGTTATCTCCGCTGTGTTTAACCCAGCACTCGAACACTCAATTTTAGTGTTATAAGTCCTTAAGCTGATTGTTGAGCCACAAGCGTGAAAAAATAAAAATCGACACTGTAATTTTTGATCCACGTCATGACTTAAGGCTCTCCTGTGATACTTAAACTTCAGTTTGTTCTACTGTAGAAAACAGACAACGGAGAAAATATTCGCTTAGACCTCCCTGTGGTTCAGCCGGATGTCTGCGGACTTATAACGCTAAAAACTGGGTTTCGAAAATCGTGGTGGACAGATAGCTTATTTTGTAGCTTTGTGCTTAACTACAAAGAAATCCTGACTTATTATCATAATACAATAAACACATACATTTACTCAAGTAAGTGCGAGTGCTAATGTTAAGTGTTGAAGTTACAAGTCCAAGCGTTACAATCTTAATCAACGAACAAAGCACTAAACGTAGAATTCGAAACCCCACAATCCTTCTTGTTAAGCTCTCACGAGAGGATGGCTTTTTTTTTAGTGCATCTGGATGGAATTTTTGAAACTTAAATGTTCACAGTGTCATTTCTTTTGCCATCAGACAGCTGTACAGTGAAACTTGACATTCTCTACTCAATATCGTAAGAGCAATGCAACACAAAAAGTTGTTTTTTGTACTCCATATTCCAGTTTTAAAGTATACGATTCAAACACTAGAGGGCTTTTTCACCCCCGCATCTGTTAATCGTTGTTCCTCAATTTTCAGCTTTCTTAACTAAAAAGTACCCGCAAAATTCCTATCTATAGTTACAAATAAATACACGTAACGTTTATTTTTAATGTATTCTTTGCCATTCTATACTGAAGAGGGTTTTGTTAGCTTCCTAAAGTTTGAATCTAGTGTTTTCGTAATGCAGTATTTTGCTAAGTGGAGTTTATAATTAATTTTATAATTAAGTGTTCTATAAACAGAAGCATTTTATAATGGCTTATTTAAACAGAAACGTGTTGTCCTTATTCACGTAAAAATATGTTCTGTTTTGCGTCTGTTAGTACTTTCTGTGAAAATGAGACGTTTCCTTTTATATATATCAGTTGTGTTGTCCTCTATGTATTTACTTTTTTTACCTACAAAATGTTGCTTTTTTGTAGCCACGGCACAGCGGCTCATAGTTTGTTTGTTTGTAATTATGCACAAAGCTACACAATACTCTGCCCACTACGGGTATTGAAACCCGGTTTCTAGCGTTGTAAGTCCGCAGACATACGACTGTGCCACTGGGGAAAGGGGGGGGGCTCATAGAATGACTCTTAGTTTTTTGTTTGTTTTTTCAAGTTCAAACTTTTAGTTCACAGCTCCTTCTCTTGACCAATTTGAGATCTAATTACAGCCGCGGCTATTAAAGATTTCCTCTTGTTTTCTTTAAATAGTAGCTGGTCGGACTCTATGTTAAGAGAGTAAAAGAAATTTCAACTCCAAGTAGAATTCAAGATATTGTCAACCAACTAAACGTAGAACAATTAATATAATCAAGCCCATAAACATGTCTAGTTCGTATTGTTTCAAAGTGTAAACAAATAATACCTGATAACACTTAAATTCGGATCATGTATAAAATGTAAACGAATAACGAAATCAAGATGACGTGTAAATCATATGATGAATGTTTTTATTTTGCAATGTACTAATTTAATTATGTACAACTATATGAGCACGAGGACTTACTTATTGGTTTAGGATCGTTCTACTTGAAATGGTATTGCATATAGTAACATTTCATTATTTGTTTCATGTTAAGCATAAAGCTACAGAAAGGTCTATCCGTGTTATTCCCACCACGGGTATCGAAACCCGTTTTTTAGAGTTATAAGCCTTGAGACTTACCGCTGAGCCACCGGAAGCACCAACGTTTCGTTTTGCCCATTAGCATACCAAAGTTAAAAACCTGTAAGAGGTCAAAGGTTAACATTTTTCGTTGTATACTTCCAATATTGTGTATGGAAATTTTCTGAATGCGACTACTTCGGAAACAAAAGAGTAATACGTTGTATTCAAGAGGAAGTAGATGGAAAAAGAAGTTTTGGAGAAATGTAACATGAGACGTGTCACATATCAAGGGTTCGATTCCCCTAGATGGACACAGCAAATAGCCCGATGTAGCTTTGCTATAAGAAATACACACACTAAGCCTTCTTTTTTATGCTTCAAGTAATAATAAAAAGTGCACTAAACCATCTTGCCCTTTAAATTTCTATTCATCAACCCTTATCTAAACCATTATTTCATAAAGGTGCTTTAAACGTCCAAACCGCTAGACCGATTATCACTAAACCTGGCCTGTATTCTTACGGCTCTCGGGAAGTGTTATAAATAGGTCGGATCTGATCCCTCTATGTCGCCCTCAGAGCTCTATGCGTTCAACGGATGCGTCAGCTCCTTCCATTTATTATCACAGGTGTCGGTGTACGTATAACTACAAGATATTAATATTGGATTGATTGATTAAATTTCAACTTAGAAAATCGTTTAATAAAGAGTATTGTATGAGTATATTATTTAATATAGTACTTAGTATGCAAGTTGTTCGTTCGTTGTGCCATTTGTGATGAATCAAATCATTAAGAATTGTTTGTTTGTAATTAAGCACAAAGCTACACAATGGGCTATATGTGCTCTGCCCACCACGGGTATCGAAACCCGGATTCTAGCGTTGTAAGTCCGCAGACATACTGCTGTGACACTGGGGGGGCATATTAAGAATTAGTTTAAAACGTGTGATTTTAGATATTAGATAGGTTTCACTAAAATATTGGAT